TTTTTTTTTCTGGGGGGGACGGAATTCAGCCCCAAATGCAGCCTGTGCAGGGTTACCTTGACGCTGCTGTTCTGCTCTGATCAGTAGTACAGCTGCAAACGAAGTCTCCCTTTTAAAAAAACGAATAGTATATGCCCCCCCACCCCATCTCTCTGCACACACACAGATACACACTAGTACTATTGCACAGGTTTTGTCTTTTAGGAAAGAGTGGGGGGGGGCACGGCGTGCTTTGCCTGCAGGGGATCCCAGTTTCAACAGCTGGATGGGAAAACACCTTTTTTTTAAAAAAAAAAAAACACCCTCATTACTGGATGGATCAGCAACTCACGCAATTCGCATGTGAATCCGTTCTTTGCACAGAATCATGAGGTCTAGAATCGGGCTTTATGTTTATGGGAGTGCAGCTTGGGGACACAGCATACTTTTTGCATGCAAAAAATGGTCCTAGGTTTTTTCCTGGCACTTCCAGGAAATGTGAGGAAAGAACCACGGAAACCTCTTCTCGATTACTGAGCATTGCGCTTCATGTTTGGCACCCAGATCCTCCTACCGTTGGATTTTAGCAGGGTGTGAAGGAAAGCGACAAGCAAAGTGGTCGCTAAGTGAAACTGTGACGGTGCTTGGGATCTGACCAGCTTTCCTTTGCTTCACAGACCTGTGAAGGTCGTAAATGTGAGGACTGGTTGCCAAGCTACTTTTTCATCACCGTCGTAACTGCGAGCACTCACTAAATGAGGCAGTCGCTAAGCAAGGTCTACCTGTATCTCATTTCCCACAGCTGCTGGATCCTGGAAAGTTCAAATGCAGGACATAAAGGTGGCCAGTGCATACACCCCCCATCACTCTTTCACTCTTCCTCCAGCAATGAGCATTTAGTGATAGACTGCCCCTGCAGCTGGAGGATTCCTGCTTTGGAGAATTCAGATCCTTTACAGACCCAGATATGACCCACCGAGCCCCTGCAAATCCATGGGGACTTTCTCTTTAGTTCTGTTGCTGATGGATAACGTGATCAAAGTTGTGACCTTGTTGAAGTTTGCGTTGCTGGTGAGGAGTTCATTTTGGTGAGCAGGAAAGTCACGGGTTGTCAGAGAGAATTCTTGATGTCATGGTAGCCCACGGGAATTTTTTAAGGAAGTAGAGGATTATGCCTGCTGCATCTCTGCATGAATACCTGTGCTTCCCTCCCCCCCCCCCGCTTTTAATTAGAGGAAGCGGGTTGTATTTTGTCGAGAAAATACAGAGGAAATAAAAGTTGCTTTT